GTAACTCTAATTATCTGAATAAATTAATTTTTATTTTAAACTTTTTGTAATCATATATAATCTTTAGGAAAATATAAGCAGATTACTTAGTAGTATCACCAGCATATTAGGATAATTATTCAGAAATCTCTGGGGAGGTCTGATGCCACCCGAGTTATTTGAACCTTTCAAGCCACTAGAAGAAAACTCAGAGTCAAAAGAGGAAGGGAACAGCGACTATGAGACCACTGATGAAGGATCGGAAGAAGATTCTGAATCTGATAATGAGTTTAAATCTGAAGAAGAGAACAAAATAATATTTCAAAAAATAAAAGATCCAGCTCTGAAAAGAATAGTAGAAACTAGAAGAATTTCTGATCAAAGTTTATATGTCAATTAACTTACTATTATCTCAGAAAATTATCCTCATAAAGAAGATCCTTTAACTATATTTGAGGATATCGAAGAACAAATTGGTAAAGTTTATAGAAGTGAATTAATACGTTTAGGAGGCATTAAAATAAAAATAGTCCTTATTGCTCATATATATCAGATTGTACAAGGAGGATATTTTAGATACTGAATAGATCAAGACATAGCATTTTCAAGTGAAATTTTAGATATTATTCACCAGGATCAAATAGACCAAACGATTTCATATTAATATAATGAAATTTTAGATAAAATCGATGAAATGAAACAAAATCAACATTTAGGCTAGATTTATGATTATGGAAAAATAATCTTTCTAGAAATAAGTGCGTACCAACCACTCTGAGGTCATTATCATTTTGCTCTACTGAAAATATGGGCTAAGCCTCAGCTAGGAATAATTAATCTACAAAATAAAGATAACAGATGTTTTGAAGTATGTATGAAAGCTTATTTAGCTAGCGAAGAAGCTCATAGATAGGGTCGAAGAGTAGTACATTTTCATAATATTAATAGGTTATGGCGCTTTGATAATATACTAGACTTTTCTGGTATAAATTTTCTAGCTACATTATATGATATCGATACATTTGAAGAAAATAATCTCAAATTATGCAGTAAATGTGTTCTATCCTGCGCCAGAAAAAAATGACAAGCAGACAACTAGAAAGTTAAACCCACTTTATATATCAGAATATAATTATCAAAGAGAGTATATGGTGGATTTAATTTTATTTACTGAAGGAGAGGAAGATTTGAGAGATCGCTATAATATTAATAAAATCCCACTAGGATTAAATACTCATTATTGTCTCATTAATGATGAAAATGGATGGAATCAGATTATGCGATCTTAAAATAAGCATCATAGGCATAAACATTTCTATTGCTACTGCCTGATAGCTCTATTCTCAAGAATGGATCTACTCGAAGAACACATAAAGCACAATTGTTATGGACAAAATAATCCTAATGCTGGTTAAAGAGAAATTTTTCCCAAAAAAGGGATGCATATCATAAAGTTCAAAAATTATGAAGCCATGAAAAATGTCTCATTTTATTTCGTCAAAGATCTAGAAGCAGATAATGATCTGATAGAAAAAAATGATATTAATAAAAAGACCATTAAACTACAAAAATAGAAGCCTAATAGTTACGATTATACTTTAATCTAAACAGATGGGAAGCTTGCGAAAGAAGTTGCCAAGTGTACTCCTAATTCAATTACAGAGTCATGGAAAAGCATCCAGCGCAACTTGGAAGAAATAATCAAGCTGAAGTTGCATAATCCAGAAAAAGTATTAATGACAGAGTGAGATTGGCGAAGACATAACTCTGGCAGGAAATGTTACATATGTGAAGAACTGCTACATGAAATCTGATATAACAAAGTAAAATATTTTGACTCAACCAAAAAATTTATAGGCGGTGCACATCATGGTTGTGTTAAAATCAAGTGCGAGGCTATAGAAAAAAAGCTAGTAGAGGCTATGTATCATACAGAAGGTTTGAGTATAGAAGATAAAAATATATTCAAAAAAGCAACCAAATGCTGTTTATGTAAAATGAAACTTTGAGCTGATATAAATAATAATAAGGTTAGAGATCATGACTATTTCACCAGAAAATATTGTGGTTTAGCACATCGTGGCTGTAATCTAAAACTTTGAATAAAGTCAGATGAAATTAAGATCTTATTGATCTATCATGTAGGAAAGCATTATGACTTTCATCATGAAGTATAGGAATTAGACCTAGTTAGTGAAGACAAAATCAAAATAATCGCAGATAATATAGAAAATTATAAGACAATAATAATTGGTCAGATCAAATTTATAGATTCCTGCCAATTCCAGTTTCTGTCATTAGAAAAGGTAGCAAGTAATCTGCATGGTCAAGAAAAGTCTCTGGAGCAATTGGCTAAATGTTTCCCAATTATGACGCAGAGTATACCTCAGCATTTACTCTCCTTACTCACACAAAAAAGTGAGTACCCTTATGAATTAAATAATCCAGAGCACTTCTTTAGAATAGAGCTTCCGTCAAGAAAAGAATTTAACATAGTGCTAGGCAGACTAAATTATTTGAAAATAATTATAAAAAATGTAAGTATAAAATAAAGAGTAAAAAGTATAATAGAAAATGCAAATGTAAAGAAAAGGATTGTGAACACGAAGAATGTAAAGAAGATGATTTAAAAGAAATCGATGATTGTGAGCATGAAAAAATTTACACCATTAGTCAAAAGTAATATGATCATGTGCAGACAGTATGGGAGGAAGTAGGGTGTGAGACATTCGAGAATTATCATATGTTATATCTAAGAACCGATATTTTAATATTAGCAGACTCAATTTAGCGATTTTGAATAACAATAAAGAAAGTATCCAGACTAGACCCATTGAACTATATAACATTACCATTATTCACATTTGATATGGCAAAGAAAATGACTAAGGTCAAGCTTGAATTATTTCATAAGAAGTAAGAGGATATGCATGAGTTTGTTCAATGTTGGATGCGAAGTGGAAATTTTATGGCACTACGTCGCATAGAAAGAGCCAATTTCCCTGGAATGAAAGGCTATAATAAACAGAAAGCTAACAAATGGCTCCTTTATTTAGATGCTAATAATTTATATAGATGGGCTATGTCACAATATTTACTGACAGGAGGATTTCAGTGGCTTGATCTAGACAAACTGCTGGATATTCAGTCTATTTCTCCAACTGCTAAACGAGGTAATACTTGAGAAATAAAATTAAAAATATCTAGAACATCTTCATCTAACACATACTGACTATCCACTCTGCCCAGAACGTCAAGTAGTTAAGCGTTAAAAGCTTAGCCTCATCAAAATAATGATTTAATAGATAAACTGAGTAGGGGTAAATTTGCGAAAACAGAAAAATTAGTAGACTAAAGACTGATATATTATTCACTACCGAAATCTCTAGCAATGTCTTGAACTAGGAATAGAACTCAAACATATTTATAAAGTATTAGAGTTCAATCAGTTTCCCTGGCTGGAGCCATACATTACATTTATTTTTCTTACTTGCAATCATGTTGGGAAAGGGACAGGAGAATATGCAAGATATTTTACGCCCGTATTTGTGATTAAGAACATATGGAATATACATTGAAGATCTCAATTATATATACTTTAATGAAGATCAAAAATATGTTTAATTTATATCATACATGCTTACATGCATTGGCTTTAAGGTGCTTCGCATGGCTGAATATTATAATATTCAGGATTTTTCTCAAAAAATACTTTATTAAAATAGTTATACAGTATATTACTGAGGATCTAATCCAAAATAGGTAAATCAGGTTTTTTATCTCATAGATAGTATATTTCACAATTATACTAGGCGATCATGTATGCAAATTATATAGTGCAAAATAAAGAATGTTAAACAAACGTGATTTTTATTTTATCTTTCAATATTAACATAGTACCTCGATTAAGATAGTAGGGTCTTAGCCTTACCAGAGGATTCTTCAAATCAGATATTCAGAATAAAAGACCTAGTAAGTTATTTTGTTTTGCATATAGAGATGAGATAAATATTTCACCGTATCGTTTTTGCAATTTGATAACTGATAAATCATTGGTGAAATATAAGCTGGCTCTGAAATACTTGGTATCATATTTTTTGCCATAATTACAGTCTTAGCCTTAAAATAAGAGCAATTCCAATGATTTTTCATCAAATCTTCAGACTCAACTTCATAGATCCATCTGCGTCATCCATCATAATATACTTTTCTAGGCTTTACTTCAGTAATCTTCATTAATTTCTAGCATTTGAAACAGATAGCCATCTGACTTTTATGGACACTAGGTCTACGATATCCAAAGTAGTCTTTATATAACTCACTATTAATACAGTATGTTTTAGATTCTACTTGTCTGAATAAAGCGAAAAGGCTGTATATATGATATAAACTATATTCTTACTTAGAAAGTAATTCTTGCAAAGAACTTCTTACACAATTAGCCCATTGCTAAGGCATTTCATGAGGTCTAATAATAGACAAATAATCGTATTATTTTTCTATTTTAATAACTATTTTGTACTGATAGTTATCAGTTTGAGAACGACAGTTAAAAACATGTTCCATATCATATCCAGGGAGAGATTGATGGGTTTAGGTACAGTTTTATTATAAATTCTATTTATAATGATTTTAACCATTAGTCTAGACATATTTGATGATTACAGAGGACCGCTAAAAATCTCTGAACGCTTTTTGGCTCAATAAAACATTTAAAATTTTTAAAATTTAATTAAAAAAATTATTAAATATTTATTAAAAATGACATATAAATAAATTTTGAACTAATTAATTAGTACTTGGTTGGGCCTCTATTTGCTACAATTACAGCCCGAATTCATTGTGGCATACTATCGACCAAATTTTCGATAGTATGTATGGAAATTTCTTTCCATAACTTCTTAATATGCCGCTCTAGTTCAGCAATGTAAGAAGGCATTTTTTTCCTTTCTCAGATGCTTTTCTTGACATCT